CTCAGCCACGTGGATTCCTGTGTTATGAAGAAAAAGAAATAATTAGTCAGAAGTTTTTTTATTTAAACCGCCACTTGCGGGGTATGATGTTACAGTAAAACCCAGTAATGTGGGGTGCTGTGCAAGAACATTTGCGTCAGCCGGGATTCGAACCAGATTTCACGCAAATGTTTTTGCACAGCAGGCCACATTATTGAGCATACTGTAACATCATACCACCGCAAGTGGCTGCAAATAAAAAGAATTCTGACTGATTATCGATACCCAGTATTTGTAAACAAAAGTGAGTTCAATGCCGATAACGGCTGCCCGCCATACCGTCACATTATAACGTAAAAAGAGTGCTGTGCAATACCAGCGTTGGTGGTTAGCATAAGCTCCCGGAAAGAGTGAGATCTGGGTTCGATTCCGGCTGACGCAGATGTTTTTGCACAGCCCTCTACATTGTTGGAAAAAAGAATTAATCTGTGAGAGATGGGAAGTCACGGCGGTGGAACCGATCTACTGATTCAGTCTCAATTTCATGAATTGAGGGATGACTGCTGGATAGATCATGACATATCTACGTGGTGTGGTTTTCTATCAGAGCTGGAATAGTTCTGAAATATACGCGGTATTGAGAACTGCTAATGCAACTACATACTTTCAGACGATAGGGTCAAGTGAGGAGCACAAACCAGCAAGTAATTTTATGTCTTCTTGAGTTTTGCTTATCTTTCCATCGTCAAAAAGAATGTCCCATTGCTACCGCTGATTATCCATTCCGTGTGTTGCAAGTTTGCCTACAAACTAGTAAAGTGTTATCATTGTTCTAAGTAAAGAGATTAGAGGGAATCGAACCCGCACCTCACTCTATCCGAGAGCGCGTGCTCTAACCCGTTGCCTACTCCCGCCTGTTTTGCCATCACTCAAATGGGCGTCAGTAATGCAACGACTTAGAGCACGTGCTCCCGGATAGAGTGAGATGCGCGTTCAAGTCCCGCTTGACGCAAAAGTTTTGCACATCACTCTACGTCACTCGGTATATCTATATCGTCATACCATCGATAAAAGCGGTCAAAATATGTTCAAGATTTCTCTGTAATGCATCAATGAAGGTTGGCGTCCAGTTGAATATCAATGCCTTTCAATCGACTATCTAGAAAACTCGCTCAAAAGTTCGATATGGTCTGGTAGTGTTTTGCATGTGATACCGATGAGGCGTGCGAGAACACGTTGGACTTACGTATATCACTGGAGATACGTTTACCAGACCTCTGAAACGCCTTAGAATATTCTATCGTCCTGAACATAACCAACGAAGGAAAGTGACTTGAAGGAACCTCAAGGCATTGTCTTCACGCCCCGCGTTTAATATTGAAAACTCCAAAATTCTTCGTTTGTAAAATTGTAACAACTTAACATTCGTTCCGAGTGTTTTCTTAAGACCACAGCTCAAAATTCAATATGCCTTGCAATCATTTTTGAGCCACGCATGTCAGTGGTCTGTCAAACAGGGCTGACTTATAGAGCCCGATACACATGTTTCGATTTAGCAATCGAGTGTACAACACTCTGTGTTTGCTGAGATTTTCACTGAACACAGAGTGTAAAGCGTTCGTCGTCGCTAACTCTTAGTGTGGGGACTGAGGACCCACAGAGATTAGCAAAAGACGAGAAAGGGTAACTATCCGACTGACGAGATCGCAAGATCGAAACACGTGTATCGGGCTCATAAGTCAGCCCTCATTGACAGACCACTGACATGCATGGCTCAAAATGATTGCAAGGCATATGTAACAACTTATTCAATAAGATGAGCTGTACAATGTTGCTCACAGCTGGTCATTATCAAGATCTATTGTTAGTAGGTATTACACCCACAACTATCAGGTCAAGAAGACGCTACTCATAAAACTTCAGCTGTACGCCTTTTCATCTAGAAATTTTTGGTTAGAGAATTTTGCATTAGATTTTTACCTCTCATACTTTACAGGAGCCGTGACTTTTACTGTGTGGATCAGAGTACTTCCGTCATTCACTTCGTCTTCTGATGTTCATCGCTTGATTGAGGACTTGTCTTCTTCATCAACGTCGCAGAATAGTGATTCAGCACGCCTCCTCAAGATCTCGAGGTTAGCCAGACTGGCGAGTTCGTTATTGATCACCAGAGAGCACTCAGGGCTAGGGAATCACCCGTGTCGAGCAGCGCCGAACTTCACTAGTCAAGCGCTCATAGTGTAATTTTTTTTCGCTTTGCAGATTCCAGCACTTCGGGCATTCGATTCGTTTTCTCGTCTTTTTTTTTTGAATGTCGTAGAATACGGGGTTGAGCGAGTATCTTTGCAATCTGGAGGATAGTCTGACTGTGGCGTTCCATGGGGCGTTCGTTATTGACTGTCGGAGAGCATTGAGAGGGGTGTTTAGCCCGCGCGCGTCGCGACGACCATCATAACAACTCAGCCATGGGCTCCCTACTCAGGTATAAAAGTACTCAAACAGAAAAAGATAGGTGGGACAAAACTTCGGACGATGTCTTAGCTGGTCGACTTCCACAGACCCTAACTGGGCGTGTCCTCCAGCGTGGGAACGACTCCACCCCCTCTGCCCCGAATAGTCTCCGACTATAGTACTGCCTTTCGTTGCAAGACCTGCAGCTGAATTTTGAACTGAGTCTTGCAACGAGAAGCAGTACTTCAATCGGCGACCAGTCGGGGCCAGATGAGGTGGACTCGTCCCCACGCCGGCAGACACGCCCAGTATGGGTCCGCGGAAGTCAAGCGGTTAATCGCCTTCATATGTGTAGCTTTTTCTACGTACTATCTACTAATTGGGTACATTTCTCAAAATGTCTCGTTGACCCCTTTTCTGATCATCTGCAAAATCTTGAGCGATACTCGCGACGACATCCAGACGCTCGTGTTTTGACAAGCAAACGCGCCGACGCGTATTTACGTGCCGGTAGTTGGCGATGGTTCACGACGTGTCAATAGAGCGCGGAATTGAATCTGTACGTTGGCTGATCATCGTCCACGACTATGAGACCTAGGGTAAAAAATGTTGTAATGCAGCTGGATTCGTTTTCTTTATTTCAGCTTGATGTCATTTATGGTTTGCTTTCGAGTAATTTGATCAGTGAATTTTCTCGTACTTCAAAGCTCTTGTGGTTTTTTCTTGCTCGTGATGTTTCCTTTCTAGTCCTCAATGACATAGCGGACCATGTGCGCTCGTAGTTGAGAGTCCTAGGATTGATTTCTTGAATTATTGATCGACTCGGATGCTTTGTGGCATCAGCTTCTAGTCAGGCGGTCGAGTTGAATTGTTTGACCAGATTTATTAAGAAATTTTCAGCCTATGCACTTTTTAAGCAACTTTTTTGTGTCTCATGCTTCGTCGTAGATCCTCCATGAATAGAAGGAGATTTCCAGCACCACCACAGAGTTTATCATCTATGATTATTCTATATTCTTGTGCCTTGGATATGATTTCATGCATATCAGTCTTGTGAGGAGCGCGCGTAGCACAGTGGTCAGAGGTGCTCTACGTCGCACACGAGGTCAGTGGTTCGACCTCAAGCTCATAGCCCACCAAACCGTCCATTCCTCCTGGAGCGGTTAATTGGTACGCAGAATTGAAAGTTCGACTTTCTATAACCTCGGCATAATTAATTGTTATATGAAAATCGAGAGCAACTTATCTTGATTAGCTGACGCGACGGTTGGTAAATTAGTCGTAGAAATTCGGCTGACGTTTCGGCGACCCGCCTTCTTCAGAGCCTGAGCGTATGTAGTATGTCTCCAGAATTGCCTGGAGGATGTGGTCAGAGGTGCTCTACGTCGCACGTAAGGTTAATGGTTCGACCTCTCTCATAGCCCACCAAACAGTCCATGCCTCCTAGGTCTGTAAATTGGTACCAGAATTGTCAGGGAGACATAAGGTCGATGGTTTGACCTCACGCTCATACATCCATTCCTCCTGGGTCAGTAAATTGGTACCAGAATTGTCTGGGAGGATAAGTAGCACTGACTCGATAAAGCGAGAGGCCACTGCGAGTCATTGTAAGGGTGGATAAGCATTCAGTCACCACAAACGAATCTAAAAATTGAGGACGAAACCATGGCGCATCCCTCGAGGATTATTTGTCAATGCCGAGACCTTTATCCTGTATTTTTTATCCTCCTCTTTGCTTTGGAGCAATTTCCACGATCCATTATCGACTTACCTTGGCATTGAGCAAATTAATCTTATATCAGTGAGCAGACACCAGGTTCTTAACAAAAGGAACTATTCGGAATGCAAAATAACGTAATAATAATGACTGACGTTTTGGTGTTTCCCTTTTTTTAGGGCCTGAAAGAGTCAAATTGACATGCGATATACTCAGTCGAACGTTTTCATAACCAAAACGGACAAAGCTTACATAAATATCCATTGTTTTATATCTATAACACATTTACATATCAAGTCGGATCTGCTCTGGTTAAAAAGCGTTTCAGTGAGTGAATTGTATGTCAATTTGATTCGTCCAGGTTGTGACGAATGCGAAGTCGCCGAGACGTCTTGCATTATTATTGTACTATTTTTGTGTATTTATCTTATGTATTAAGACCTTACTTCACATTTGCGGATCTCGATACATCTAGTATTTGATTTGACTCCTCGCATTTATCGCTTGACTGATGATTTGTCTTCTTGGACGTCGTAGAAGAGAGGTTGGGCAGATCACGTTTCAGTATCGAGGATAGCCAGGTTGGGCGTTCCTAGGGCGTTCAATGATTAATATCGTGTGAGCGTCGAAGAGAGGTAAATCAACTCTGCAGTGAGCATCACTGACCACTCGGCCACCGACGCACACTATTGTATAATAATGTTGGTAATAAATTTTATTGTTAGCCGCTTTGCGTCTGCTGAGCAACAAAAACAGAATTTAAATTGCTTTCGGAATCAGTATTTTAATGCATTTCGCATTGTTATGATGTTTTCTATATACCTAAGAGAATTGAGTGGTTGAGCAAAAACGCGGCCTCATGCGGGAATCGAACCCGCGTTTCATCCTATCCGGGGGCGCGTGCTCTACCACCACACCACTGAGGCACATTTGTCCGACCACTCATTCTTCAACATCTCAATGCTAGCTCTCAGCCACTAACCTTTTCTCTCAGGTATATAGAAAACATCATAACAATGCGAAATGCATATAATACTATCAATTCCGATTATTAGTAATTAGAATAGTTGTCAGCTCAACTGGTTTTATGAAGCGAAATCGCATATCCGACCAAACCTGTCAAAGGTTGGTGGCTGATAGCTAACATTGAGATGTTGAAGAATGAGTGGTTGGGCAAATGTGCCTCTGTGGTGTAGTGGTTAGAGCACGCGTCCCCGGATAGAATGAAACGCGGGTACAATTCCCGCCTGAGGCCGCATTTTTGCTCACCACTCAATTCTCTTGATTTGCTTTGTTTTACAGTTTACTTTGTACTTTGTGGACCGTAGATATTAGGTTGTTCTATAAGCTTTGGCACTAGAGAAACAAACACCAAATTTATTGACTAGAATTAATTAAATCTGCATGATTTTGGTGTCGTTCAACTGTGTATTCTTTTGCGAATATTTCGGTGAACAACTTGTCTATACTTGCATTAGAATGGAGCTATCGTGAGAGCAAATTTGTTTGCCACTCGTGCACGAATGGTGCTTAAGAAAAAGTGCTAGTGACGAGGAGCACAGGATTGATGGAGATTCTTGTGGACGGCCCAAGCGCGACTGTTCCTCCAGACTGCTCTCTCCAGTCTTGAACTTCGCGATCCACTTCCTAGCCGTCCTATCTGCTACCGTATCATCTCTCAAAGCTCCATAAATCTTGTGCGCCCGCTTAACAAGCATTTCATCTGCGCGACATTCGTGCACGAGTAGCAGCGAATTTGTTCCCAGAACAGCTCCTGCACAAAGCAAGTATGAGCAAATTTTATACTTATGTGTCTGCAAGAAAATGCGCAATCGAACGATACCAAAATCATGCAATTTCAACTACTTCTAGGCAATTAATTTGGTGTTTAATGGTCTAGTGCCAAAACTCATGATACGGCCCAATAGTCCACAGTTTTTTCTTGATAGGATAATATACGATATTGTTATTAATAAGGTTTATTTGGCGGAAGAAATTGTAATTTATCGAAACGTCAACTGCTAAATTCGACGTTGTAACTGCCCTCGTGTTTTGCCTTCTCTCAAAAAACCAAGGTTTGATGGACAATGCCGCGGTTAATGGAAAGAGTCAGTCTTGGGAATAAACAACAACACTCGTCGCTGCGCCTTCGTATCGATTTCGTCACCAAAGACAGCCGCCAGCTTTGATGCAACAAATTTCAGTTTTTCATCAAGTAACATTGCCCAGTCCTTAGTAGCGTTCCTCATAAGGTACTATAATTTCCTAATTAATTTCGTACATCCAGTGAAATTATTAGCAGTAAGGAACTATAAGACATTTTCGAAGACACCCTAAAACACTAGAGTGAAAATATAGACTTTTATAATGTTCTATCTCTTCTCGCTCATAGGCTACAAAATGTTCTTGAATGCAACGCTAACTTGTAAGGACTTTCTCCTTATAATGATTTGATTAGGTGCCTGCTGATCATTTTAGTTCTTCACCGTTTCTTTTTGAAGATGTGATTGTCGTGTTATAAAAGAAATTTTCTAAAAAGTTAATAAACAGAAGTATAAGAAGGGAGAGTAAAGTTGTGTTCAAATTTAATGAATTTTGGCAGATTTTATAAAATCGATAATTTATTCAGCTTAGACAAAATAACACCATTTAACAAATTAAATCTGCTTATTCAAACTAAATTAGCAGATCTATCTTAAATATTTATCACGAGGCTTCAAAAACAGTCGATCTTATGGATAAATCAGCAGAATTGAGTGTTATAGTTTATCAAAAAATTTTATAGAACTATCCCAATTGACGATAAAGTACCCAAAATCTAGCTTGGCTCTCAAAATCTGCTGCAAAACTCACAATCAATCTTCTGTTTTCTTAACGTCACTTAAACCAAAGGTGCCCTCTGAGTTCTCATTCGTTATACACTTCAAAGTGATCA